GAGGGGACAGCGGGGACCGGCGCTGACGGGCGCGGTGTGTTGCAGAGCTGAGGAAAGCCAGCAAGAGGCTGACCTGCCACAAGCGCTACAAGATCCAGAAGAAGGTGGGTACCGGGGGCTGTCGGGGAAAGGGGGACGGGCGGCGTCTGTTTCTAGTTAAGGCTTCTTGCTAACTAGTGTAAGGCTAAAACCATTTTTATATGTTATTACAGAAGTATGTTGTACATACACGGACACAGCGAGGCTTCTTGCATCGTTCCTTTCTGCGTTATTTTGGGCTTGCACGTTCAAGTGCAGCGTTGCAGTGAGACACTGTGCGCTGGAAACACTTCACCCTAAAGTCACAAACGTACCGGGTTTTACTCTTCATCCATAAACGGGAGGGATACTTCTTTTTTCTTTTTTTTTGCCTTAGACTAAGAAAATATTCTTGTTCCTGTCTTAAGATCAGAGAGCATCACCGAAAAGTCAGGAAGGAGGCCAAAAAACGTGGACACAAAAAGCCCAAGAAAGATCCTGGTGTTCCCAGTGCTGCGCCATTTAAGGAAGAGCTGCTGCGGGAAGCGGAGCAAAGAAAGCAGAGGGTAAATTACAGCTTGTGGTAGAGAGGACTAGAAATGAATCCATTTCGATCTTCAAGGAAGCTTTGTGTGCATGCCCAGAGGGGGAATCATGGTAGACTGTAGATTGTCCTAGTAGACGTACTTTGGAAGAATAATACATATATTTCCAGCATTATACAGTGTGGAGCAATTTACTCTTTTATTTTTAACCTTTTTTTCATCACCATATGTGTAAACATGCTGGAAGTGTCAATTCTAATGTAATCAGAATTGCCTGTGATGCTAAGATACATAGATGTCCCATCAGAATGCTAGAAGTTAAGTCTCAGCATTATGTGATTATACAGAAAATAAGGATTGCCTGTTTGCAGCATGGAGTAATGTGCCATGAGAGCAGCACCCATATCATATCATTGTAACGTGGTTGCTGCACGGCTGTTAGTTTGGGGTCTAGCTAATGGATGCATTGCTTCCAATACATCCATTTTGAGGCAATTGAAGGCAACGGTATTCTTTCCAGGGTAGGATACAGAAAAAATTCCCAATGTCACTTGGACCGCCATGACTTCTAAATAAGCTGTCTGGGGAAATTTGGTCAGAAATAAGTAAATGAGGAAAAAGAACAGTCTTCCTTACCACCTTCAAATGTGTTTTATCTGGCTTGGGTTTTTGTTTGCACTCAGCTTGAAGAACTAAAACAAAAGCAGAAGCTCAACAGACAGAAAGAACATGAAAAGAAGAGGAAGCTTGAAGCTAAAAAGAATGCAGCCAAAATCAAGGAAAAAGCAGAGGGAAAGGTAGGTGTCTGGTATGATTTTGATTCTCTGAAGCTTATAGAAGCAATGAAAGTCATCCTGAAACTCCATCTTCTTAAGCAGTATGTTATGTGTTATATTTTCATGCTGTATATGTACGCAAGTATATATGCTAATTCTCAGTTAAATAATTCTCTTTTGTTTTTATTTGCATTCAGGAATCCCCTGGCAAATCTAAAACAAAGACGAACAAACTGCTGCATAAAAATTCAAAGAAATCATTTTGCAGGGAGCTCAAGAAGGTGAGATGCTTCAGCTATTTTTATATAATTTGATGAGAGTCAGCAAGGAGACCACTCGTTATTTTCCATTTTTGCATTACTGTGCAGCTGATAGAGAGTATAAAGGTTGTTCATGATAAATTTCAATACTGAAGTAAGGGATTTTATGACAGAAACCATGAGGTTTTCAGTTTTGTCTGGTGTGAGCTACTGAGACATCCAGCACTTTGAGGCATTAGACTGCTTGGGCCGATGTCAGTACATACTGAGTGATCAGAGAGCTCTTGTAGTAATGAGGTACTAGTGTCTAAGGATTTCTTGCCTTCAGAGGAAAAAGATGAAAATGGCTTCAGCTTTCTGGTTTGTAGTTCAGAAGAAAGGATCTCAGACAAGAACAGTTTTATGAAACTTCACCAATCATTCTGTGAAGTTCAACAGTAACTGTTTTAAGCCACAGCTATTCCAGAGTTGTTGTCTGTCAAATGGTCTGCCATGTCTTTTTTTAAGAGTCTTCTCTTTTTTTTTCCTAACCCAGGTGATTGAAGCCTCAGATGTGGTTCTAGAGGTTTTAGATGCAAGAGATCCAATGGGCTGCCGGTGTCCTCAACTGGAGCAAGCTGTAACTTGCTCTGGAGGAGACAAAAAGCTGCTGTTGGTTCTGAACAAAATTGGTAAGAAGCACAGGTTTTCTTGAAGTGTTACTTGGTCACTCTGTGGTTCTGTGAGCTATGAAGAAGACTTTAAAGGAATCTGAGATTCCATTGAAGACATAAGATCCAACTCTGAGCTCACTGCCTTACTGAAGGGGTCACGTTTCCTTTTAGTCTAGTTTGCAAAGAAAACACCACACTAGCCCCTTTCTCTTGCAGTAACTTCTGAGGGCATTGGCCAGTTTCAGCCAAATTTGACAGAAGTTAAAGATCTTAAAATTTTTACAATTTTTCTGAATGTGAGTAGGCAGAGATCGCAATACTGGTCCCCACTGAGGCAATGGTGAGTTAAAGATCGGCAAGTCAATGCAATAGTTGTATTTGAAATTTGTCTTTGTGAAGTATTTTCTCTCTTCCATTGCTCTATGAAAGAATGCACACAAAAGCAAGTGAAACCAGCTAAAAAGGCTGGAAATTACTGCATTAGCAGCAGCAAAAAAAAAGAAAAGGAAATACCAAGAGTGACAGCAAGAGCAAAGGGAACTTCCTATTAGAGTTGTCGTTGCAGGGATGATGGGATAATCCTTCACAGAACATCACTCTGTACCATACAAAGTCTCCGAGCAAGATTCCTGCCTTAAAAACCTGATACAGAGGCCAAGAGTGTAATTGTGGTATGTTCTGGTTGAGGCAGAAAATGAAGACTAAAACTTGCAACACCAGAGCTTTCAGCCAAACATCATTTGTGGTAAAGAAACATACTAAGTGGACAAAATACAGCTTGGTTACAGATTCCGCATTAGATTTCTTCCACACAGTGATACTTGAGATTCACACGAGTCAAAGGACTGTGCTTTTTTTCCAGATTTAGTGCCAAAGGAGAACTTAGAGAAATGGTTGAATTATTTGAAGAAGGAGTTTCCAACGGTTGCTTTTAAATCAGCAACACTGATGAAGGACAAGACTATGGTAAGAGCGCTGCAGACTGTCTGTGACTAAGTCATATGCTTGCAATCATACATGTTGAAACATGGTGAGAAACAGGAACTCTTGTTCTTTAAAATTATTTTTCCCCTTGTTTGATTATGACTGGTGGATACGCCTTTGCACTTTGACTAAGCTTTGTGGTGCTGTGGGGGAATTCCTCCTGTTGAAATCCGTATTGTTATTTCTGCCCAGGATGGTGGACTAGAGTAAAAGCAAGGTTGTTTCTTTTACTGTAAGAAGGACAGGGAGGGGAGGAAGATGAAGAATTTTTCATCTTCTAGATAAGATGGTTGCACCATTTACAGCTGCATTGGTTTGTAGGTAAAGTGGTGCAGGCTATACTACTGCCTTCATCCTGACTGTGGCCATCAGTAAAGGTAGCACCTGATGTTATTTCATGAAGAATATAAAGGGGTTAGCTCTCTAGTGTGCTGGTCTTGACTCTTTCAAGATACCCGTTTGAGTCATATGAGTATTAACACATAATGCTTCACACATCTTAACGCTGACAACAGCGTAGTGAAATAGACCCTCCTGTGAAATGGTGCAGAAGCTGCAACACAGAGAACAGGTTTTGAAATCCTTCAAAAAACTGAAGTCTCTTGAGTGAATTTGCAGATTTAAGGATTCTACCATCTGAACATACATGGTTATTTTATGGTCGCGCAAATCTGCAACACAGCCTGAACTGAAATCACAAGCCCTATAAGTCAGTTCGCATTCCTTTTGCTCTTAGTTGTTGATGGCTACCTTTTTTACTGTCACTTAACTGATTAGCCAACTTCATATTAAACTAATTCCTTCTGTTTAGAAGAACACTGTAACGTCATCTAACAGAGGATAGGAGTTGGAAACAGTACAGTAGATAAATAAATCTAAGCATACATATTTATTTTCATAAATAGCTCCTGACCATGGGGGTTTTTTGCCTTTGAATCCTGTAACAGGAACAGTTGAAAAAAAGACGTGGACGTGCTGATTTATCAAGAACCGCTCAATCTTTTGGAAGCAAGTGCCTTTTGAAACTTCTTCAAGAGCACGGCAAGGCTCAAAACAAAGCCATTCAGGTTGGGGTAGTAGGTAAGCATCTAGACAGGAGTTTCCTTCTCCTCCCCTAAATATTATAAATTGGGTTAAACAACTAACACATGACTTGCTAAGGGGCTTTCTAGTCATTGTTCTTACTTTCATTTAATACTTACTATAGTAGTACTTCCTCCCCTGAAGCTTTGGTATCCTGTATTATAAATTGGGTTAAACAACTAACACATGACTTGCTAAGGGGCTTTCTAGTCATTGTTCTTACTTTCATTTAATACTTACTATAGTAGTACTTCAGTTGACAGCAATCTGTGTTGTACTTACACCTCATGCATGTATGTGATCTGTGGAAGGCACATTGCGTGAGGCCTTAGCTGACTGACTAGCTTAGGGAAAGAAGAGAAGCAGGTTACG